GGTTTTCACTAGGTGATTTATTCAAATTTAACTTATATAAATACATTAGCTAATACATTAGCTAATACCTGCAACCTTTTTTTTTTGTTTGTTTTTGAAGTCCTTTTAAAGAGCAGAAAAGTTTGTCCTTGTTGTCCTTGTTTAGGCTTTACTGATGCCTTGGAGCCACACAGGCAAGGAAGCTGAATGGAGCTGCTGGGAAAAGAACGATGCCACTGAAATAAGAAGGAAGGTTTGATGGCCCAAAGGGAAATAAAGACTTAGTTTTGGTTTAGATATCGAACTCTCAGTGTTATGGCTGACATCTAAAATGGTCCCAGAAACCTCCTGTGTTCAGAGGTGGAGCTTTTGGAAGGTCATGGTAGTGCTGTAGCTGACTTGCTGTTAAAACATGGGGCCTGGTTGAAGGTGGGCCACTGATCTGGAAGAGAAGCTCTCCCTTCTAGGCCCTCCCTTCTCTGCTGCTTCCTGCAGCCATGGGATGAGAGCTGTCCTCTGCCAGGCCTTTCTACCACACCCTTTCTACCTTGGAGCTGACCAAGGCCTGAAACCGTGAGCTGAGGTAAACCTCTCCTGCTTTGCTGTGGGTGTTAAGTAACTAAGACACTTGTTGCATCAACTGTGGGCTTGGTCATTCTAAATTCACAGTTTCACAATAATGTTTCTTCTTTTGCTGACGTGCTTTTCTTTTCTCCAAAAAAGTTACTATTTCACTCATAGTAAAGATAAATTTCTAGATCTTTAAATAATTAGAAATTATTTAAGTAATTAGAAAATAATAGACATTAGCTCAGAGTAAAAAAAAATGATATTTTTGAGTGAAAAATTGAATTAAAAAGAAGAAAAAACTATGAGTTGGGCATATGTAGCCAATATTAATTAATTGTATAGTAAGTCATTCTTTTGTAAATACATATTTATTAATAACACGTTTGTGACACATGATGAATAAATTCACCATGAGGAGTTGGTTCATATACATATCACATCTTTATCCTTTTTACCTTTCCTTCCCCTTCTCCTCCCTTCCCCATCCCTCCATCTCTAGGTCATTCTTAGTGGAAAACTTTGGCTTCATAATGTGGCACTCCAGGTCATGTTAGCTGAGAAAACTTATGCTATTGTGAAACAGGAAACCATAGAATAGGTACTGTCTGCTGAATTCATTAATACTCAAGTGGAGGAGAGAATAGAACACAGCATCCGGTGTACTATTAAGTCATAGTTAAATCATTCTCTAAAATAAACTGTTAGAACGAGAAGGAAAGTAGGGAGTAAAGGAATTAGAGATAGTCCTAGAAGATCATTGATAAAGCTAAGTCATTTTTCTCTTTAGAAAATAATTTTTGGCTCTGAATTTTATTCTTAACATCCAAATAAAATGAAGAGCAGAGAACATGCTATTTGATCAAAGCTCTGATTCTGTTTCTCTACTAATGTCTCAGTTTCATCCTGTTGTGTCTGGGATTTGATTATACTGGCCTTGTAAATTGTTAATTAGCCTGCTACTGCTCTGCAGATACTGAAAGAAAACATGTGACTTCTGTGTCAGATAAAGATATTTATTACTCAGGACACCTCAACCAGTAGGGGCATCAGAATGTTTGCCTCCATTCATCTTGCACCCCTCCTCGTGGACTTCACACAATAGATCTAGGTGGATGCTACAGGTACACGGGTTTGTAGCCCTGCTAAGGAACATCAAGTTTATAGAACCCATTGCTTTTACAAGAATCAGGTAGTAAACCACTCTCTGCTCTAGTCTGAGATATTACTTCATCCCTCAGTATTGTTTCCCTCAAACAACCCTGAAATGGCTCATGAAAAGAGACATAGAACCTTGCATTCTGGCACACCCAGTAAGACCTATAGGAGCAAGAGAGTGCATGATGCTCAGTTTTGCCCAATATGACTTATGATGCTTTATCTTCACTCTGGCTTCTCTCCTTGGCTGGTGTCACTATTTATAAGGGAAATATCCACCCAGTGAGCTCTGATGTGATTGGTCCATAATGAATAATCACTGGGACCAGGAGAAACTCCTTGATTTAGACTAGGTTAACTTCTGTTTGAAGGAGGAAAGATGAACTGTGATTGCTTTAGATGAGCCAACTCCTGGGGTGAGAGCATCGATTTTTAACAAAACAATAGTAACTAACCAGTGGAGAGGAGGAGGATATCAGGGAGTTATCTGTTATCTGTTCCACATTGTTTCTCCATGGTATAATTTAGGACATCTGGTTTACCTAAGATTTTTCTGAGTCAAATGAAGTGGAGGAAAAGAAAACAAACTAGAATACACTGATAGTGTTTTCCGTGCTTTAATTTTAGGAGACTGTATCTACTCTTTCTACTCACGTGAATTAAGTACAAATTATTTGTCAGAAATTATACTGAGATACAGTTCTTAATAATTCAAAAATAAGCCCCAGTCTGTCAGAGTTAATAGTCTAGTAGAGATTCAGACATTTCAAAAAACAATTAGAATGAGAGAGAATGTAGAGAGAGATGGCAACGTAGCGAAGGCAGATCTAACATGGATACTGGGGCTTCAGGAGAGGCTTCCTGGAGAATGAGGAGCTGGAAGGATGAGTGGGAATTACAAGGGAGGTAAAGGTGGGCAGTGACTAGCTGGCTTGGAGGAAAGCCTAAGCAGATGGAACAGCACAGCAAGCTGGAGAAACTAAAAGTACTTCTGTGTCTGAATCATAAAACCCAAGGTAAGGAACAGTGATCGGTGGGGGAAGAAGTGGGACGTGGGAGGCAGAGAATGTGATCTATGTAAAAGAGTGTTGATTTTATTCTCAGAGCCCTGGAAGATTTTAAACAGAGGAAAAAAACAAGATAGGTATCATATTTCAGAAATGTCATCCTGGCTGTGGAGTGAGAAAAGAATTGAAAGTAGAAACATGACTGGAATTTGGAGACTAGTTAGGAGATTGTCCCAGTCCAGGCCAGTGATAGACGTGATCATGGCAGGGGGCACGGAGTGATGGAACGGATTTGTAATCTATTTCAAAGTTGGACCCATATCTGTCAATGGCTAAGTGGATGCATTTGATGAGGAAAAGGGGGGAGTACATAAAGCCTGGAGCCAGGATCGAGGGAAGAGAGCGAGGGAAGGGAGGGGAAAAGGTATTTTAAATTTAGGATAACACATTCAAAACCTGGCTCTACAATTTAGGATCTATAGCTTAGTTAAATACCAGCAAAAAAGAGACACTCATAACTACTTAACATGATGACAAGCTAAATAAAGTGTTAATACTATATGATAATTTCATTATACAGAGCACATCTTCAATAAATTATAGCACTCTTGACTTCCTGGTACTGTGTAGAAGAACAGGTAAAATGGGAGAGGCTATTGTTGCCTGAGTGTGGCATTTAAATCTGTGCCAGCTGTAAGGAATAATAAACTCGCCTATAGCAGTTTAAACAAATGTGGATTACTTTTCTTGCACAGTAAGAGAACTGGGGTGGAGAGCTGCTGGCATGGATTCACCAGGATCAGAGTCTCTGCAGTTTCTTTAGGCTTGGTCACAATATGGCTGCCTCCGTTCCCGTCTCCGGCATCAAACCCACACTCAGGTCAGAGTTGAAGGGGACCAGGCATAAGAGAGAGGTGCTTAGTCAGTTATCCTGAGATACGGGAGGTAGGAGGAGAAGCAGCACCTGACAGAGGAGTAATTAACTTCACTTTTAATCTATTAAATTTGAGGTTTCTGTAATAAATTCACATTGTAGAAAACAGGTTTCTTAGGCCATGGAATATACCGGCCCGGAGGTAAGGAGAAGAGCTGAGACTGCTGGAGGCTGGCAGGGTCTGAATTCTGTAGGGTGGAGGAGAGAACGCCTAGAAAGGAAGGCACAGAGTGAGGGAAAATGAGGAGCAGTCCCACCTCTAGGGAAAGCCAACATTTAATGGACGAGTAGAGCAGAAAACCTGCACAGACGGGAAGAAAGAAGGACCTAGAGAGGCAGGAGGACAGCAAGACCTTGTGGCGTGTATAGCCTACGGGAGAAAACAGTGTGAGGAGGATATGGTCATTAATGTGACATGTGACAGAAAAGAGGTGACCAGTGATTTTGCCTGGACAGACTGGAGAGGGTTGAGGAGACGAGGACACGAGAGACTGCAGAAACAGCAAATGTGAAAAGTCCTCCCTTTTCCTTTTCCTTTTGTTCTCAGGGCACATTCTGTGTCACAACTTTTTAAAAAAAGACTTGGCAAAAGTTAATTCACCCTTCTGAAGAAAGTCAGATCTGGAACGTGTATCTGGCCCTTGTGACCTCCCAAGGGTCTCCTCCCGTGCCAAACGTACTAACTTCATTGTCGTCCTTGTTCCAGTCACGAGGCGCAGTTAGGGCGACACGCGTGGCTTCCGGAGAGCAGAAACGCTCGAGAGCGCTGATGCGGCAGTGTGTCTGGAAATGACTTGCGCCTGGCACCATGTGCAACTCAGATTTCCCCAGGCTCTTCTTCATTTTGTGTGTTTATGTGGACGAGTGTCATGGAAACATTATTATGGGAATGTTAAAACGCTCCATTACATTTTTGGTAGATTATATTCTAATTTAAACTCTTAACGTATTTTGGAACACATATAAAATCCACTTTCAGACTGGACCACCCAGATTCAGTCTGTGAGATGACGGACCATAACAATAGAAAACTTGTGGGTGACACTGCGCGCATCGGACCCTGCACTGGATTCAGTTTGAAGAAGCGCCGCAGAAAGGAGTGAAATGAAACACTTCTTTGAATGTAAAACACCCCAAACCGTGCACCAGACAAGGTTACTAATAGGTAGTTTCCAGGGGGGAATTTTATTTCCTCTCCTCCCTTGCCTCCCTTGTCCTCTCCTCCAGTTGTATCACCTCGCCTCTCCTTTCTCTCTCTCTCTCTCCTTTAAATGCATATCATAGCTCAGAGAGTACTTTTTCGGAGTAGAAGACTAAAGAAAGTTTATGTTTTGTGTTATTTCCTCTTCTTATAGGATTCCTTCTGCAGGCTGCAGACAGAAAAATAATAGCTTAATCCGCGAGAACTGCTCCTGCCTGTTTCATTCACCAGCGTGGAAACCTGAAGCATTTGAAATCATCCTATAGCAGCGGAGTTCTCAGGGCGCACGCCTTAGCGCGGAGAGCAAACCTCCCCGTGTCCTGTCCTGTGTACAGAACGTTAAACCTGAGCTTCGCAGTTACACTCGCGGCTTCGGAGGCGCTGGAATGCGATCTGCGAACGCCGCAGGACGTCGCTCTTCCTCCGGCCTCCGCCCGCCCTGCCCCTGGGGACGGGCCGGGCGCGGCGCTGTCGCCAAGGTGGGCTGAGCGCTCGTGACGCAGAGGGGCCGAGTCGGTGCGGGCGCTGCGGGGCGAGCGAGAGCGCGCAGTCACCGGGGGCCGGGCCAGCGCGGGCGGCTCTGCGCCCAGACGGCGTCCTCGTCCTCGTCCTCGTCCTCGTCCTAGTCCTCGCCGAGGCCCGAGCTCGGGGCGCATCCTCTGTCGCGCCCGAGCCTCCAGTCCCCGCAAGCTCTTCATGCTGCCCGCCTGAAAGAAGACATGGGCGCCGGAGACTGTATCTGCATTTCCATGACCGGAGGGGCCCCCTGGGGCTTCCGACTGCAAGGTGGCCGGGAGCAGAAGCAGCCCTTACAAGTTGCCAAGGTAAGACTGGGGAAAGGAGTGCCAGCCAGCGTGCCCTCTCCGGCAGGAAAGGACGAAGCAACCTGTTGATGCTTTTCCAAGTTCTGACCTGCAAGTCTATGCATTGCTTTGATTTTGGTGCTGACGTTCAATTTCTCTAGGATGTGGCTTGTTTTTTAAGAAGAAAAATGTATAGTGTAGATTTTGTCATTATCGAACAATTAGGGGGAGAAAAAGAGTGTTCTACTTAGCTGGAGAAAAGGCCTGGCTCATCATCTGACAAGCACCAAGCCTCCGGTACGTTTCTTCTGGGCACTGCTAGAATATGCCTTGGAGCTCCCCTTTCATGTCACTTTGCTTGGCTCTAGCGGAGAAGAAATGCTTAGCTCTGGCGTTAACTGTTGACTTGGATATTTTGGGGACTGTCATAAGGTGTTGGTAGTGACATTTATTATGCAGCATTCTCAAAAGGCCACTTTTGGGCAATAATTTTTAAAGTATGATGAGATGACAGGAGATCTATTTGAAAGAATACCCTTTTAAGGCTTTGACAAATAAATGCAAAGCTTCAGTTAGTGTATTCCATCATGCGAACTCATCCGGCTAAGGACTCAGAATAAAATTCAAAGATACTTGAATGTGCAACAGCTAAGACAAACTTTGTAATGCATCCAGTAACTTTACAGTGTTCAGTGTTTTTGTTACCATTCCCTAGCTTGTTCAGAACACTACTTAGAACACTACTCAGCTTAGAAAACAGCTAGTATGCTCACAGGAGGTGCTATTTCCTAATGGACGTTTAATGAAAATAAATTTTAAAATGGATAAAAAAAAAACACACCCCAAAGCTTTACCTGATTTTAATGCCAAAGTGATGAATTGCATGCAAAAATATGTGATGGCAAAAGAAATTAATTTTCTGTTTTATTCTTGTATTAAAACTGGATCTAGGTCTTTCAGGAATATATGGGTCACTGTCTTTGCATCTATTCTTTCCCTCTGGCTATTGCTTTTTAAAAATGTACCAAAGAAAGGAGTTTCTTTGAAATTTTTTGCTGTGAGGCATCCATCAGAGGGCTCCTCTGTAATGTGGTGGTAGAATCCTGCCACCTAGTGAAAATCGCAGACATCAAGCCTGAAGCATGAAGATAATAAGCAGACGTTTTATAACTGGAAAGTTCTTCAGAGATCTCCAGTTTAACTGGCTAATTTTAGATGAGAAGAAAGCCCAGAGAGGTTAAGTAACTCACCTTAAGCCTTCAAGCTGAACTGACAGAGTAATGAAAGGATTAAAAAGTGTCTTTCTTGGGCTTCTTTAGGAGTCAGCAGCAGGCAAAGTCAGATAAAATATGAACACGTGAGTTAGCATTTGTAGAATTCAAGAGACTGATTTGTCCTGGGTTTAGGATAGCAGTTGGTTGGCTGGCTCTACTTACTGAGATTTGGGTTCTAATTCCAACTCTGATCTAATTTACAGCCTGATCTCTCACCCATACTGTCTTATCTACTCTCTCTCTCCCCCCTCTCTCTCTCTGTGTGTGTATGTAAAAGCACAGAGACAAAAATTTGCAAAGGAATAGAAAGAAGAAAATTAAGAAAGAAATTGGACTGTACAAACCATGCAGTTCCATCAGGTTCGATAGATTCTGTAGTCCTCACAGCATACAATTCTAGACTCACAGGCCTGAAATATGAGGGCAGAAGTGGCTGAAAGCTCTCATTTTCTCTTTGATAACCAGGCCCGAATTATTGTGGGTAGTGGATTTCTCCCGGGCTCACCAATGTGCTCATGTCAAAGTAGAGCCCCCTAGTGGTGACCCTATAAAGAACTCAAGCAGATTGCTAGAGAAGGTACTGTGGAGACATTTCCCTGTGAGTAGCCTGTGTATTGCCAGGATTCAGAGATCCTTAAGCTATGTGAGGGTCGAGCAATGCAGTCCTGCGCTTCCCCCGGATCATCTTTCTTGAAATATGCAGGCAACACATCTGTGGGTAAAAGGTCATTGTTAAAGCATCCAGGTAAGTTTGTCAGGGCCTGGGGATGAAGCTCAGTGGTGGAATACATGCTGAGCTTATACAAGGCCCTGGGTTTAATCCCCAGAAACATCCCCTTCTGCAAGGATTATATCATTTCTAACTTGTGATACTGTGGTGAGAGTAAAGACTTAATGCATTATGAAGCATTAGGATGTTTGCGTTAATTTGTATGTGCATACGAGGAGGAATATGAAAGGAGAGACAACAGCCTGCAGTCTACCTTTTTCCCCATTTGTTGAAGAAACTAGAGAGTTTTGCAAAGAAGATATAAGTTCTAAATTACCATGGAAATGCCTGTTTTCTTGGTCTGTGCTTATCTTAGTCCAGATTTATATTTAATTGATTATATAGCCTCATGAGGTTTTTACTTTTACTAGTACGTATATAATGGTTACATTCACTGTAGGGAACGGGTATGTGAATATATCACATTTCATCATGTTTTACTTAAAACACTAAGTAACTCAATGAGTCAACCTCAAGTAATGGTTTCTCATGGAGTTCAAGGTGAAGTGAATGTCACTTGAGCACAGATTTTCTCATTCTGTAGGGCTGGTTCACCTCCAAGAAGGGGGATGCAAGGGACAAGTCAGGGAGTGTAGATGGAGGGCGGCCGCCGGCATGTAGAGTGCTCACAGTTTTGAAGAACATGCGAAAGATGATTACAGGGATTAAAAATACATAAATATTTCTAAAGAGAAGAACAATTTAAACAGTACTTGGACGATGCCCCTTAAAATGAAAATGCTACAAAGTAGTTCTATAGGCAAAAATGAATTTTGGCTCATGAAATATTTAAGTGTTTAGAGTTCTGATAATTCTGTATGGAATGAAACTTTAATAGGCTGATGTAGCACAAGAAGAACTAATGTAATTACTTAGATGATCAGAAATTGAATAGCTTTATAATTCTGTGTAAGTGTCTTATCTTTTTAGTGACATATTTAGTCATTTTTGAGAGATGTTTAAATAATTTTCGTGTTGGGCTAGCTGATTAAATGGTACAGAAACCCACAGTTTAAAGATCATGGACAGGAATATTAATAAAGTGTTTTGAATGACATTGAAGCCGAAAGCCATAAAATTTGGTTTTGCTTTTCAAAAATCAACCAAATCTTTAAAAGGTCAAAATAATAGGTTTTATTAACCTGGATTTTTGAATACTACCATATTTTAAAATTTATATTCTCCGTATATCTAGTGGAAAGCAAGCATTGTTTTTTGAAAGCAAACATTTCTAATACTGAGTCATAGCATAATACTAGTCTACAAACTATCTTTGCAAGAGCTCATCCCCAGAAACAAATTCATCCAGACAGAAAGCCCCATTGTGTGTGCAGATATCCTCGCAAGAAGAATGTTAACATTTTTCCTTAACAAAACTCTCCTTGGGGACATGTACTTACACGACTGTGTCTCTGGACATACTCTTGGCAAATTACTTCAGAAAAATGTTCATAAAAAGAAGTGGGAAGAAATTTTTGTTTTAAAAACAAATCCTACACACGACTGAAACAGAACTCATGGTTTGAAAATAATGAACAAAGAAACGTTCAGTTTGTTCTTTACATGTTTTAGTGCAGTTAGAAATCCTTTTTCTTTCAACCTTATAAACATCAATAATTTTTATTTTCCTGTTGAATTTTAGTTCACACTTTCAAGTAACTATTAAAATTGAGATGATAAACCCATTCGTTTCATGAGGTAGAAATTGATTTAATGGTTCTTATCTACTTCTGTATCTCTGCTCTTTAGAACATCTAATAAAATATGTTATTTAGGCAAAACATGTTTCAAATCATACAGTTGATGTGACATGAACAGTGTGGTTTTATAATGTTTCAAATGGAATAACCCCAGAGATAGCTATTTCTAATGAGAAAAATTTTTTTAATATATTTGAATGTGTATATTTGAGAACAAAGCTCTGTACTATGGAAAGGTAGTATTATCTTTATTAGGAAATATGCTTAATAACATTTTAAAATTGATTTGGAGACCTTTCTAGAACCTTTTGTAGATGGTTAATAGAAGTCTGTGTATAATTGGTAAATCTATTAAACAGATGTTATTTTTAAGAATTCTTTTTTGGAATTTCATGTTTTTTGATAGCTCAGTATTGTAATATGACAGCGAAATAATAAAGTGAGTTGCATGTACTTTACCATTCATTACCTGGATGTAGCACAATAAAGCTCACATCTATCAAGTACTTGCCACATACTAGGAAATATTCCAAGTGTTTTGCAGGTAACATCTCTTCAAGTGTTCTTCAAAATTTAAGTACAAATGGAAAAAATAACTTCATTATAGAAATGAAGAAACTGAGGCACAGAAAGACTAATTTGTTTGCTGACAGTTGAGCTATAAAAATGATTAGATTTGATTTTTCTCCTTGCTTGTCAAAAACAGGTACCTAAGAGGATCAAGGTAGGTGAAGGTGGTCCCAAAAAGAAGTTTCATAGAAAACAAAAATACCATGTCTCATGATTTAAAAGCTCTGGTATTTGCCCTGGGCTCCAGGATTTATAAACACTTAGAAGCTGATTCTGGTGTGTGGTTAAGATTCACAACCACTGCTACAGGAGTGTCCCCGCAGATCCAGCTGTGTCCCCACAGGACTTACTGAGGGGGACACTGTGTGCTTTCAGCATTTGCCCACTGCCCCTTTTCCAGCTGAATTAAGAGGAGGACCAGAGAAAGGATGAGAGTTGTCTTCCTTGGCACTGTGAGCAGGTCATAATTATTGATGGGAGTGTTTTTCTCTTTCTGAAGCCAAGAGAGGTAGTCTGGGGAGAAGACAGCATATGTTGAGAAGCTCCAATGTGATCACTGTAAAGATTTAAAGATTGAAGATGCCTGTGAGAAAGGACGCTGATGATTTATTTCCTACTAGCTTGTCTTTGTCAGTGGGCTTGGTGCCTTTATGAATGGGAGTGGACGGTATTGGAGAGAAGATAGGAGGGTAAAATGAGAAGGATGCA